TCTCAAATATTTTAGAGAAAAATAAAAAAAGACTTCATAGAATTTCAGACAATCGTGTCGGCTCTGTTGATTTTGTTGGTTCTTACTTTGTAGTTTGGAAGTTTTGACACTCTGTTTCTGAGGATTAGTCTATCTTCGGTATACAAAGTCTGTGTTTTCAGTATAATAGAGTTTTGATAGATTGCCACTATTTAACTGTTGAAATCAATAAGAACTGTGAAATGTGACATTTGCAGTTTCATTTTGAGTAACATGCAGGTTTCATGACATCCCACGTGCTTAGAATTCGTGTGACTTATGAATAGACTAGAATAACGCAACCTGTAATGAAGAATGTGAACTTGACAACTGTGTGTGACATTCAACTTGTGTCATATTTCAGATGTAGGATATCGAAATCAACGATAACATTTGATACTGTTCAGCTGTTTATATATGACGATTTGGTTGCGATCTTCTTTTAATAATTGGTAAACACTAACTTGATCGAGAAAAACACTAGTAAATTGAGTGACACTATGTAAGTTGGTTTGTTTCACTTTTCTCAGAGTGGACACTGTTTTTCATTAATCTTTCTGAACAGTTTGAACAATGTACATTATTTTTATCTACTGAATAAAATGTAAACTCTGATATTTTTAAAAAACAGTCGTCTCCGCCAACTACTTTCTTTCTGTATGTTGTCATGGGACATGTCTGAATCTATCCACATTACTTAACTACCATTAACAGACACTGGAAACTACACAAATATCATTCAACTCATAGCGTCTAAAGAGTTAGATTATCTTTTGGCAAGACATGCGAACTGTTCAACCCAACACCCGTCAACTGTCACAAATAGAACGGTATTCGCCGGATCGAAGCTTCATATACCTTGATTGTGTGTTGTTATCATATGTGATAAGATAAATTTCGATCAGGTTAAGTGCTGTTATATTAGATGACAGTGTTATTTGTCAAAGTCTGATATCATTTACTTATACCTACGTAAACAGTGAGGATATGATTTTGACTTTACAATGTTAAGATATTCTAAAGCCTTACAAACGTAATAAAAATTTAACTGCCGGAGAGTTTATGATTTAGAATTTTCTATTCTCTCACGCTGATCACAAATATTTTCTTGAAAGAATGTTTTCTCTATTGCTTTATTCATCAATGTTATCACTCAGTTTTCAGTTAACAATTGCTTGAGTGACAGTTCAAAAATATCTCTTTCTATGTGAAATTAAATTAATCCAATCGAGAAATAAATCGAAACAAACTAATCATATCAGCACTAATCACAATCGAACTGTGTCGACTGACTGAGTTTGATAAAACTAAACTCAATGATTTGATATAAGTTGGTTTGTGTCTGATAGTTTTATGTGTATCTCTGTAAGAAATACTTGGTGTAGAATTATTAAATTTACATGTATTTACTCAATGAAATCCGTTGATTTGTTTGGCCTACCAAAATGTAGATGAATACAGATGGTTTCTTCTTGTCTTGATGTGAATATTTTGAAAGTGACTTGTTAATTCCTATGACTTACAAAGAAGCAACGAAAAGTCTGTTATCATAGATCATAAGTTAAAAATTAACATAAAGTATTTATGCAGATGCTCTTATTTTCGCAGCCTGAATCCCAAACCAATCTTGCCTGCACTACTATTGGAAGTTCTGAATAATTGGGTTTCATCCAGGTATGCGGATCCCCGGCTGTGCGTATCCACGATCTCACAAGCTGGAATCGGAATAAAGATCAACTTCACGCATGTGGTTTTCTGCTCAATCGACATGCAACAGTGTTGATGGGAAACCTTGATCGAACCATGATCTTACAAAACACTTCGTAAAACGCTTGGAAAAAATCAGCTCGACTAACAGATATATTGAGAATAACAGAGCGTCAGCATCAGACAATTTACTAGCTGCTATATCAAGATCAGAAATAGAAGCAAATACATGGTTTTTCCATTCTCTCATCGGCACGATTGTGCAGGAAGAACAACTACTGAGACTGGAAGGAAGGATACCTCATCGAGAAATTAAAAAAGCATATCACAATAAGTGCGAGACCTCTCACATCACCATCTTCATCAAAGAGCAGTGACAACAGTTTGGTTAACCGGGAGAAAGACTCCGTTTATCTGTTTCGCCCAATTATGAGAAGCATAACAAACATAGAATCTACAGATTTGCAGCAATCACTTGACCTGTAAACTCCTACGATATCATCCAGTGGTTTTCACATTTAATTTTAATCGATCAACGAAACAAGGCAAGCTTCAAACATTTTTCTTAGGGATAGATTTCTTACATCGCAAGATATGAAGGTTCTCATGTTTGATTCACATTTATGTCACTGTTACACAGCTGAGAAATCCCAGTAATGAACAACAAGTCTAGTGCCACCTGGATTCCCACGTCTGACTAACTAGGATCAGTTCTATGATGTAAAGTGATGACATACGTCTTCCGTAGTTCTCAAAATTTAATTAAATTAACAAGTCATCCATGGAAGAAAAAAATACAAAATACGGTATTTAACACTTTTTACGTCCCTTTACTATTCGAAAATGAACACTATTATTCAAAATATTTTTTGAGAGGTTAAAGAGGTTCTAATTTATATTTGAACAATGGACTTTATATTTTGATCTCTCCTAATGATCACTCATAAATCAACTTGATCATTTTATAGAAGAACATAGTACAACCAACCACTTGAAATTAAAATGATTGATTGTTATATCTTAAATTAAATTAGTGTTGAGGACAATAAATTTTAAAATTATTTCTAATTAAATGTAAACTATAAGAGATATAAAATGTAAGTCATAATAACAATTTATCATTGAGCTTAATCCGCTTCGTGTAAAATATTTTTGATATTAATTTGAGGTAAATTACCTGACGTTTACACGTTAATGAATCGCACAACTCTTGTGCTTACCTTCAAGAGTAAATAATCAATGTAAGGAAGATAGGAAATGTTTCTAACTCATTCAATGACTACAAGTACATTATTCAACTCTAATAAGTGTTCTCAGAAAGCTTAAGTTCATCTCTGTTTATTATGAATTTATAGATTATCGAATCAATTCTACAGAATGCAACACAAACAAATTCATCATTTCAACGTTCATCCCGTTTCGAGATTAAATTCTGGTATAGACTTGAAAAAAGTAAATTTATATATGATATCAAGTGGTTGGTTTAATAAATTTTTCAGTTTTGGATATTTATTTGTCTATGTGTAATTGAAATTATTATCATTTCAATACTCATATATAATGTGTAAGTCTCAACTGTGACCATTAAAAATGAATCTTATTTTAGTTGCAAGGAAACGGATAAATGCAGATGGTATTTGATAGGTTCAATGTAAGTCGTGGAAAAATATTTTGGTACTTTTCACAATTTAATAGACATTTCAAATAAGCGATTCACTGTGTGATTTGTAACTCATGAGAAAACCATGTTCATGCGCTATCATCATATTCAGGTTATTGGATCACATAAAAAGTATTACTGTCATAAAAACGATTGAACAACTGCCTGAAATATTGACTGTTGGCATTTCTATTTGTAATATTCAATCTTTTGGCGCCAATAAGTGTTTCATATGCATAGATTGATAATAAGAATGCCTATTCATTCATATTGTACAAATCTGAAGAAAAATTGTTTATGTGAACAGTATTTATGGATAAACTGAATGACCAGAACTCAATAACATTACGATAACAGCACTTCGGTTTTTAATAAAAGTTACTCACTTATTCACCTACGGCTGTTACCAAAATGGAGAATGGTCCGCTGAGCAACATTCTTCATCCTACTGTTAACTGGGCCTTTCTTCCTACTTCCGTCCTTTTTTCGTTCATTCTTCCTTCATCAGTCTTCGTTTCTCGACGTATTGTTATTCGGTCTACCTCTTTTCATTTTGCGTTAAATATTCCAAGTGAGTGCTTTTCTTGTGCGCAGTTTAGTGCTTTTCCCATCCTTTCATCACCCTTTTTTCTTATTTGAATAGCATCGGTTCAACTGCTTGTTTATGTGCACCCTTTTCTTCGTCATGGCCGGAGTATAACAACACCTAACCTGAAGCTAGCCTTTGCTGTACAATCTGCATTGAATACATACTACTCTAGGTTGTATCTTTTCATTGAAGACGTTTCCAAAAATTTTATGTACTTAAATCGATGGTTGCTTTGGTTGGCTGAAGAAGCATCGGCCTCGTGACTTCCGATGATTAGCGAGTCGGTTTTCTAAGCATGAGGAAGATGACCCCATCCACAACCCTCCATCTTCAACCAATCTTGCGACCGGCAGTAACCCTGATGCGGCCTTTGGTGGCGTTTCACGATAAATGTGGTAAATATGTAATTTACAAATGAGTATAAAAATAAAACATTTGTAACATTTCATAACTCAGCGTAAGTGCACAACAAACGCATACAAGATTAAGCACTCTGAAGGAACAAAGGGAAAATGTATTTTTGCATGTAATTTTCTGAATTTATTTTTTCATTCTCTGAAAAAGTGGCTTATATACAGTCATAAAAACAAAGAGAATGTTTCAAATTTTCTACTCATTCGGACAATATGAGGACACTGATTTTTTATAACATTCTTCAAAACTTCATGGAATTTACAACTGCCAAGCCGAACCTTAGCTATGATACCTACCAAATATATTAGTTTGGTTATTTATTCTGATAACTCATGTAACTCAGTTTGTAAATCGATAAAGAAGTCAATGAGTATAATAATTTATTACTTCATTTGTTATATGAGATATTTATTATATATGGAATAAAATTATGACTTGGAAATCCGTTTTCTTTAAATGTTAATCTCAGACCAATTTCCATAATTTTGTCACTTCTATTGATCACTGTACGTGATATGCGAGAACATTTCCCATTGAATTATATTTTCCTGCATTTAAATGTAAGTTTTATCTATCTTTTTAATATTGCATGAAGTGTGTGCGATCAGCTAAATCGTTTATTTTATGATGATGTTTCAATAAATATATAATTAGTTCTCAGTGTTGAAGTTGTAATCATGTTTAAATGATTTCACTATGAAATAGTTCATCCCTGTAAATCGCTTGTCTTTCTTGAACTGGATTGCTTTCACTTTAAGTATAAGATAATATAGATTGCTACAAACTACCATATATATGAGGATTTCATTTAGTCAATTCTCACAGTGCTGTTATGCCTGGTGTTGTAAAATGTGCAACCACATTGTGTCGAAATTAATTTGAAGGGTAAATTTCTTAATCTATGCTTGATGTAATGATATTCAAAAGATATTTTTTTTAAGTTGTTGCATTGACGAATTTTAATTTCCCACTACTGAACCTGCTTTTTTTGATTTTTATTGAAATACTAGACGTTGTTATTGTGTTTCACATTTGTCGCACCAGTACTAAGCATCGAATTCTATGAGACCATGATATCGTTTGCTGTCGCGGCAGTTACTCTATTTACAATGATATTACTGGGGATGTTAATCAAAGTTAAAATTTCGCCTACTTTGTTGGTTGCTGTATTGATCAGTTTCATTGTTGTTGGACTAATAATAGCTATTATATTGGATCTCCTCTGTCAAAGTGTATGTTTTCGTTATTCTTTTCAACGGTATTCACTAAATACAATTTTTATTAGACGATTTTGATAATCGGTAGTCAATAATGTTGTTTAGTGTCATCATTTTCATTTGTCTATGACCCAAATCTTCTGAGAGATGCATGATTACAAAGTATTGCTACACTTTTACAAGCTGAGCTCTGAATAATTCTCAACATAGATTTTCAGTCATCGTCCACTTATATTTCTTATTAAGAATACGGTATTGAATTTGACTTTCCGATAATATTTCCTAGGACGTTCAATTATGTCCTTCTGACAATATAATATAAGGAACAGTTTTAATCAGTTACCATGTACATGAGTACTGGAATTATACAATAAATCCTGTTTCATTTGATCTGAGAAATATTCAGTCTCTGTCTGATCTCAGGATGTAAAATAGATAGATGACCGATGACTTGAGACTGCATAACAAAAATATTGTATCATCATTTATTTGTAATGTGAACGAGCATTGGATCATAGCATTAGATTACATTGTTCAATCGTAGAATTCATTGAAAAAAAAATTTGAATCTTCCATGTGTAAGTGATGGCCTATTGAAGGTATTTGAGATAAAGTTAAGGTTTAGTGTTAGTCTCTGCTTTCATTAAGATTGATCTGTAGATAGTAGTACATTTTCTGAAATGTAAAGTTTAAATCACCACCACAAAGATTTCAAATGAAAATCATTAATGATGTAAATACGTGTCAGTTAGTGTTGGAAAACTACATCGTTCTGTGTAATAGTACACATAAATGTGGAAAGAGAGCCTAATTAATTGAGTACAAGAAAACCAGTGATATAAATCCGTAGCCAAACAAAGCACTTGATGAGTTTGTTTTCTATTTTTAGGTCGCACTTAATGTAATGGGAGCATTTTTTCTCTTGTCAGTTTTACTAGTAAGTTAAACATCATAAAAATGTAAATTTTGTTGTGATAGGACAACTGACAATTGTTTGACAAATCGCTTTACAATCTGAACTGTAAAGAATTTCAGAGGTTCACCATGAGGTTGTCTAATAATGAGCGATTACATGTCATATCGTTGATTTTACAAATATCAGTATACCTGTTACATGAAATTCATTTCAGAAGCTTGTTTAAAATAATTCTGAAATCTATTCATAGTAACCATTTGTTCACAACAAATAAAGCCTAATACAATATTTTTGATGAATCAGAACGATGACTATTTAGAACTGCCATGAACAATAATCCATGAGTGAAACGTAAGTTAAAAAATAAAATGTAGAACCTTAAGCAATGCATAATTTGAATAATAAATGACTGATTCTTGTACTGAAAACCTGATAACTCTATTTGTTCAATATTTACAAAGATATGTGACATGTGAAGTCTATCTGTTTGAACTTCATTTATAAGAAATATTTTTGTACTTTACTATGATGCTAGTCTTGTATCTTTATTCAAAATTTTCACCAGTTTATGGTGTTTATTGGACAACAACTGAAAACGGAATACTCTCAACAGATGCTTCCATCAGAATTTATATTATATGCCGTATTGATATCAATAACATATTTGTTCATATTTTATTCAATTGCCGTGCAGTTCTTTGAACTCAATGAAACATATTGATATCTTTAAGTGTTAATGTTTACACAGTATTGCCTATTCTTACGAGGTAGGCAATCCATTATTTCATATGTACTCTCTACAGGCTGTTGTCCTTGCAAACAAATACAGTTTGTAATCGAAGAATTCCGTTCCTTTTGAATTACTTTATTTGACTTTAGAATCAGCTATTCATTATTGTGATCATATTCCAGCACTTGGTTAATTTTGAAATGTTTAGTCAAAAGTAGTTTCAACCTCACTTTCAGCCCAAAGTTGAGTTGATTTGTCAATTTTACTGACGCTCGTTTATTCGCCGACACCACAACGCTTAACTGAAGTTGCCTAAATTCTCACTTCAGTCCACTGCGCGAAATTTCTTCTTCTTTGAACTAAGCGTCCCATTAACGTGATATTTATCATCATCTTTTTTCTCACTGTTGATTCTTCATTGACTAATGCAGAGTTTAAGTAGTTTAGATTACTTTTTCTCTTTGGGATATTTTCAGCAAATTTATATTCTTCAGGATGAGGCCGCAAACCGTCGGCTCGACGCTCATCCTTTGCCCAGGTTCAGGACTCTCAGTATTCCTAGAGGTTCTACTAGGAGTGCATTTCTCAGTATACCTCTGAAGAAATAGAAGTTCCGTTTTAGTTTCCAAGAAAGTACCTGGTCGAAACATTTGACGAAATCAATTATGTTGGGCAGTTATAACTTGAGGATAACAACAGCTTTTGGTTAATGATCTCTAATAGACATCCATTATTAAAAAATAGATATTGGGACTTTAGATGCTCGATAATTTGGATCGTTATAAATAGTTCCATGTTTACTGATTTGCAGGTGTTATACATTTTATTAAAAAAATTTTCCAACGTGAATATTTGTGAATTGCTGCTTTAGACGAGAATAACGGTTTGATTAAGGACATTTGAACTCCTGCTTGATTTAATTATATATCCAGGTCACGATTCTTACTTTCAACACAAAATGAATCATTTCGGCAGCCATATATGATGATTTACAATCTAGGTAATCTGGTTTTATTCTATCATTAGGCAATGTGCCTATGTTTAAATGTTCTTGTATTACGAAATAATTGCGTTTGCTCGAGATTAAATAGAATGGCTCTTCGAAAGCCAGAAAAACTGAAACCTTTAATTCATAAAATCTGATACAGATGTTAGTGCTTTGAAAATTCATTATATTTGTGGTTCGAATCTGAAGACGAGTGTTATCGGCTTACATTTGGACATTTGATCTCTTAATTGACGATTGTTGTTATTCCGATCACAATCAGTGAATCTAGTATTAACCGATAAGTGGTGTGTGAATGTGATAAAAGAGAAGCTATCAACTGATTGTTGAACCATTTTACCACTACACTGATCTGAAGATGATATGCTTCGCTCCTTATTTTGTTTCGGCTTGGTTGCTTCGACAACTTTAAGTAGTTTGCTTCAAAGCAGCCGATTTATAATTGAGGTGCATCGGGTCCAAATCGTGTTTGTAGACTGGCTTAACTTAGTGATAGTTATGTCGTCAAGAGTACTGTATATCTGCAAAACACTGGATGACTTAGAGCTACGCGTATACAGTTTATTTTGAATTTTCAGCCGAATAAAATGTCTGTTAAGTGCTGTTTAATTATCTTACATGGCCAATAGTAGGCAATATTTTAGAATTCATCCCACTGTGACTGCACTAGTTATTCTTTACATGTACACTAAATGTCTTCTGTTTCAAGTACTCCACTAGTCATTTCGACTGACTTGATGACTGCTTCTCAGTGAACAATCATATTTTATGGGTACTCTGCGTGGTGGGAATTGTAAAATACCCTAAAACGAAATTATAAATCATATTTTGTAAAGGTTTAGATAACGCGAACGCATTGCTTTCATGCACAGAGCAAAATAATTCCTGTTTTCCGATCCAAATATTTCCCTGTCGTTCTCAAGCTGGCCGTTGTTAAAAGAGAGAATCGTAAGGTTTTGCTGTCATTAGTAAACTTTGGGCCTGCCAAGAATGCAGCATACGGCAGGTCCGTAATTTCACTGCGTCCTCCGAATGTCAGTACTCGAGTTTAATAAAGATGGTTCACAGACATTTGTGCACGAACAGCCTGGTGTAATGAGATCATTGGTATAGGCATTAGTCCAACAAAGTTATGTAATTATCAATTACCACGCTAGCTGTCTCTTCTACACTTCAAAGTTTATGATCGGTTACTGGATGATATTGATCTCAAATCGATATAATGTATCTGCTTCCTGATTTTCTTTACCTTTCACATGTTGTAAGTCACAGGTGACCCGCGGTATGTTTTCTGTCTGACCTCTCAACACAGTTTTATTCTTTGGGTTTCAATGCAGTAGTTAGTGGTTTGTGACCTCTGACTAACTTTCTAACGTTTGTCAGAAATGAATGATGGCTAGATAAAATGACAAGCTTATTCTTTAGCCCAGAAGTCAACTTTGATTTATTCTATTTTGTATAGGGACGTCCATCGAAGGTTGCATTAGTTGTACACTTACGTATTTGAAAACGATGATGAAAGTAAGTTAAATCTAAAACTTTCTGAGTTTCTATAAGGGAGTTAAAACGGAGTTTCAATCAGTCGTCTACACCTTTTCGTGTTTTGATGTAATTCCAACTGGGCTTATTGAGTTCTAAGGTTGGGGCCCCGAAAAATATTCGACGTATGTTGATGTCATCTTCACCTAGATTTCACAAAACAACTCTCATGAGTCTTGCTAGATTTTGACTGGAAATTGATAAATCGTCTATATACACACGAGAAAAAGACGCAATAAGATGTAGTTTGTCAATGAACCCTTAAAATGTTCACATCATGTTCCTACGACGGGATGCTATGTTTACGAATTCGAATGACCCAAACATTAAAGATATAGTTATCCTCAGAACATACCACACAGTTTCTGGGATCTTGTGATGTGCCCTAGTAAATATCTCATACCTTGTAATCTAGTCGTAATATCTTCGATATTAGGTAGTTGGTACCTTTCTGGTATGGTCTGATGGCCCAGAAATCCCGACTAACCCCACTCACCTTAATTTAGTGTAATCATTTGTAGCGTATTGGGCCTGTAGAATACAGACATCATTAGTTTTGATTTCATGACAAACTTTATCGTTTACGGTTACGTTAAGTCATGTCTAGAAATTCCGTGAGTATATCTGAGAACTTGGAATTTGTTACTTGTGACGCTTTTACCAAATTACGAGAAATGATTTAACTTTCTTTTCCTTTTGTGCATTACTAAGTCTTGTTAGGTGTCGATGACCATTTGTGCGTGTTGGCAGGAAGCTCAAAACTCTCTAAATAGTGTTTTTTGCCTTTACAGCTTTGTTGGCAGATCCAGGTGAAACTGAGAACATGGTGTAAGATGTTTTATTATAGTGACGAATACTCGAAGTACCCAGATTCAAAACATATACAGAGAACCTCATGATTTTGAAAACCCGCGAAGAGCAAAGCACTTGGTTAACTCAATACCCATATTCAATGCAACTTTGATAAATTATGGAGGCTAAGTAACATATGACACTTTTTGATCCAGATTTGTTTATTTTTCGTGTTGAAGGATTTAGGTCTATTTGAAAGCAGTCGTGAATGATAAGATCAAAGGTTCTATTTTTCTTGAAGTATCTGTAGTGAAACTCGTGTACCCTAGTTCTGAGGCTACAAACCTGATTGCAACAACGATTGGTTTTAATCCAGTATATAATTATATTAGCAGCGGAACAAATCAAACCCTTCATCACAATTAAGATCAACAAATGACGTTGTCATTATTAACTGAATGCGTGTTCGTAGAACAAACAAAAATGTAATATGATGATTGTTCATTATGATCATCGTCATTAACTGATTTTGTCTCCGCGAATAATATGCATTTCATTCAGCCAAATCATCTCGCAGATTGTTGTTTATTTGAGGTGTTATTCAAGTTATTGGATATTGTAAATCAGTTTCGAATAATTATATTCAATCTAGTTGTTAACTAGTATTTATATCGTTTTCCCTATACTCGTGACTTTAAATACAATGAAAGATCTCTTCTTCAGTAGTGTACAAGGCAAGATTTCTACCGAATTCATGCGAACAACATCAAAGAACTACGAATTTATCGCCACATTGAAGATCTTATACTACATTGGAGAGTCGATTCTCATCAAGTTAACACCAGATTATAATTTCCGGTGATCACAAAAGTTGACATTCGAGTTATAGGTTTTTATAGATTGTTGAATTTTTTTAAGTCATGGATCGAACAATGTTGAACAACTGAGTGCAGTGCGCACTCTTCTAGCAATGCAACAACGATATCTGCTCATTAGTCTAGAGATAAAGCGTTCACAGGCAGGTGCGAAGGTTTCCGTGTTTGGATCTTGGGAATAGTGGAAGTTGTGGACACACATTAAACATGAGTGTCATAATTGGACGAAAAAGCTGTCATGTGTTCTTTGAAGTTTCTAATCGTGGTCTAACATTGACTGATTCATTATTTATAAATGAATGCTGAAATGTTTGTTTTTTTCAAAGAGGACTCTCTTCAGATTATCTGTTCATCTTCTCATTATAATACGCACAGAGTCTGCACACTGTCAGCGGGGAACAAAATGCTGGATAAACATTTAGGAAGGTCACTATTTGATTACAGTATTTTTTCATGAAGTTTTAAAACGTAAAAATAAATAAAAGACATATGATTTTACCTCTTCTATCTCTGTAAATCAAACTTTTTTAACCAATGTTGTTACATCATTCAACTATATCTACTCTGATTTACATTTATAGTTTCCTAAACAATAATAATATGTCTTACTTATCAGAAAAGTATTATCAGCCATTTTTAGTATGCCTACAAATAAATCATATTACTACTGATGATCAATACAAACTTCAATTTAAATATTGTTTCTTGCAAATTTTTTAAAAAGTAAGCATAAATGAAGATGCATTCCATGTACGGCCATACAGTTCTTAGCAAAAGTGATAAAGGTAGGTATTATATGTAGTAAAAGAAAACCATTGAACAGTCATGAGAATTGTAATAACATTGAACAACTAAGTACAGTGGCTGTCTACCTAAAGTAAATGTTTGCTTTGAACTACAAATTGAAAAATAAGCACAAACTGTCATCCTAGTTACTAAAACATATTCACAATGATTGATGCATGAAACCGAACGAATATTTTCAAATCTAATTCTACTCATTTACTCAGAAAAAATATGTTATCATAAGGAATATTATATTTTTCATCTTTGACTGAATTATTAAAGTACACTAATAATCGAAAAATTACATTAGGAGCATACACTGTGTATATCTACGACAACTGAACTCCAGCAAATAGAAAAATAAATCCAGAATATGAGAAAGTTAGTATAAACAAATGAATTATCGATGCGAGAATGAAGTCTTCAGGTCTGTAATATATTTTCTTCCCTCCACAAAGAACTTGAGCTTCAATCAAGCTAGCCTAAAATTACAATAAACATGTGGAAATACATGTTTATAACATTCGAAATAGTAGTAGTAGCTACATTATAGCATAATTCGGGATAACACATGACTAACTTAACGAAATTTGAAAAGTCGTGACATATTTAAATTGTTATTGTTAAAGTTAGCCAGCAATTTTTGTTTTATTTTTCACTGATAACTTACAGGTATCACAACGGCTAAATTCAAGGCGCCCATCGCCCAAGTCACCTGGAATTCAAATTGATAGTGCTTTTCAGTAGAAGATCAAATGTTTGACGACCAATTTTCTACTCATCATCACTGAATAAAAAATCCCTTGCAAATCGATTTACAGAAAAATTCATTCAATAAATCTCGAATATTTTTCACTACGAGATACAAGAACGATGACTTATTCTAGCGTTCAGCGAATAGGAAACTTGAATAGAGGATTTTTAATAATGAGTGTCAGTCTGTAGGCATAAAAATTTATTTTCACGTTCAATTAGTATAAAATCAAACGTTATATAGAGAAAATACAAATAAAGACGATGAATCAATAATCCGTTAGACAAATATCAAGTGAGTCTGAATTTTAGATAGTTTTACGATTCCCATTCTAGTTTTATCTTGGTTTCGAAACTTGAAATAATTAATTTTGGTGCTAACACTGACTATTGATCCTACCCGGTTGAATTAGCGGACAGATTATCAACAAAATTAAGTTAGTATGCAGCAGTTCACTCTGTGCAACTGCATGGCTGTGGAACATCGCCAGTAATGATTAGGGTATATTCGAATGTTGCAAGTATTTGATCCTAGGTCTTTACGAGGCATTTTTGTAAATCGTGAGACCTCTGATTACTCAGTGTTAGTGCAAGGAGACGGCTTCTAACTGAGGACGACAGATTAGCTGGTGAAGTAATGAATTTTCGTAATTTGAGGTTGTCAGATCATGTGCTGCTCATAGTCAACCACCGACGACGCTTTGTGATGAAGGGGTAATCTGTAAGAATGCTTGGCGTGAAGTCACCGACAACTAAACTGAGCTACGTTAGTTGGCGTGAACTCCTTAGTTGTGATCTGCGAGAATTTATTAGCTGGTTGTTAGACTTCGGATGATACAGAACGAAGTCGTTAACAGTGGCGCATGTGAATCCATCCTCTTTGTTTTCTCTAATTATTATCTTCTGCAATACTCATAACCTTCACTTTTCCATTCTCAAATCAAATTCACTAGATTTAACAATTTCATCACTGTGCTATTGTGGTATAGCAACGTAAACTGATGTATGTACGTACGACGTGCACGTCGCTGCTGAATGAATGGCTTACTCCATGTTTTGTTGTTTTGTTAATACTTAGAAGCTAGTAAATTAAATAGGAGACAGGGAAATGAAATTTAAAATTCCGTAGTCATAGCTGAATATACAATATTTGAATGAATGGTATTGTGAAAGCGAGCACAAGATTAATCAATGCAGAAATCATTACGGAAACGATAACATATCACTCAAATCATCTGAATCTTTTTCATGTTAACCCTCTGCAAGCTGACAGTTCATTATTGGATTGGCTCGATAAGTTTTGTGATCTCACTATGAAAGTCAATAACAACACTCAACAACCATCTTCACTTCTGGAATCTGACGTTAATAAAATCAATATTTTACAATTAAAACATGCCAAATTACGATAAATAGCTCAAGTTGAAAGTCGTAACGAACATAACTAATTAGCTACGTACTTCAAAGACATATTAAACTAATTCAAACTATTAACTTATTGGAACTCACTTCATTATATCCTAGACGCCACATCCATCCTAATGTGAGAACATTAACAATGACGAAAGCAGCATAAATCAAAAACAACCAGAAATAACTGACCAAATCCACTTTTATATTTATTCCAACTAAAAACAATATCATCGATAGAATGATGACTATCATCCAACTGATAAATATATACATTCCATACACGCTGATTGAAAGTAACGGCGTCACACCAGCGAAGCTGAAAGTCTTCAAGTGAAACCAACAGGTCTTT